AAAAAAAAAAAAAAAAAAAAAAAAAAAAAAAACTTCAACCATAAACCAAAGCAAAATTTTAAAATATAAACAATATAGTAAATTTGAACTAAATAACAGCCAGTTTTATTCTATGCTTCACATCTTTAAAAAGTTAGTGAGGTTTATTTACTAATATGAGAAAGGAAAAAAAATTCCTTTTGCCTCTCTGTCCCTCAAACCCAGACAGTTCTCTTTATTCTTGGCCACTGACAAAAGTATGGTGGTGTTACCAGTAGCTTTCTGCCAGGAATACACTAACAGGCCCAGAACTAATACTTGGGGCCATGATATTTGGCTCTACCTCTGCTCATTACTCTCTGGGAATTAATTTACTTTTCTCTCCCACTTTCTCATTTGCAAATGAAGAATAAAAATGTCCAACTATCTGATTTGAAAGTACAGTAAAATACATATGAAAATATTTTTTATAAAATGAAAACCATCAAAATCATGTAAGATAATCATAACAATTTGCTCTTTAAACTGAAATACAAAACACATGCTCTTGAAACATACCTTGAAATTGGGTAGAACATGCCTATTTCCACCTGCTTTATGTTACTTTTCAATATTGTTTCAGAACTATTCACCCAACAAATGCACAAGTAATGCCACTACATGTAGAACTGAAGCATTTTCCCCTTGTGCATTAATTAACATTAGTTTCCTCCATGCAAAGGGCGTTCCAAGTCAGTGTTCCCTAATATTATCATTAAGGACCATACTCATTTCTTTCACAATATGTGCACTTTCTTATAACTTTAGTAAAAGGAAATAAAGATTTCTGTCAAAGGAAGGCATCAGTTTATAATTAAATGTAAAATCCTAGGAGTCAGAGACACCAAAGTTAGAATAATGTCTCTACCTCTTACTAATTTTAAACAATGAAACATTACTTAACTTCTGCAAGGCTCAGTTAAGCTATAAAATGTTGATAATAATACCTACGATGCAAGGTTGTGAAGATTAAGTACAAAAATGTATATAAAATTTTGATGCAAGGACCAATAAGTGTTAAGCATATAAAACTGGCATCTGTAATATGATCTGGTTTCATATTTCACAACTACTATCCCAAGCTGTGTAAACTTAGGTAATTTATCTAATCATTCATGTATAAAATGAAATATTGATTGGGTAAGTACATGATAGCCATTTCTAGCTTCATGAATCCAAGAACCCCCACCTAACTCGGGATACCATTTTATAGTACCACCTTCTTCGATTAGAGGAGGGGTTCTGTCTCCATTTAATACATGAAGCAGACTCCCTGGCAGGGTTAATCACTTCCCTCAATTCATCTA